CCATGTTTCCATGATAATTATCTTGGAAACTCGGAAACGCGGAAGGTCACTTTAAGCTTCCGTAGCCAGCATTAATTTCTTTAGACAATCAGGTTCTGTAAAGCCTATTTGATTTGGTTGAGTATCTGTAGGGCCTACAATAACGGAGAGCGTCATTGAATAAAATTAAGCAATGACAGATTTTTCATGGCTTTACATCGACAACGATAGACGCAGTGCTAGTCCTACGTGAAGTAAGTAGGCCTATATTTAAAATGAAAAACCACTGACAGTCCTTCACTTATCCTATATTATCATGGAACAGTTAAATGGATATACATAAAACACGGGTGATTTAGTTGCCGTGTGGTAAAAAAAAAGGGCATGATTGACTCAGAAGGTGCAACTTCAAGTGGTCTGAAAATCTCATTGGGTTCATTTTGGTTGGTGTCCAAACATCGCTAACACTTTCGCCAACATGTTGAACTTGGTTTAACCGTTGCAGACAAAACAGAATCATGTGCCCACCCCTCCACCCCGATTCGTCCGCAATGCAATCAGCAAAGTTGAACCAGGTTCAACCTTCCCGACAACTGTCGGCGACTGTCGCCGATAGTGTTAGCGATTTTATGGAAACCAAGCTTTGTGCTGATTGGTCGGTCGAATCAGGGAGCCTTCCCAAATGCGTCGGGGCTGCTACGCGTTACAACGTCGTTACAAATATTAGGCACCTTGAGTAATCACAGTACCTTACGGGTTCAAATCAGCACCTAACAGGTTTACATGAGCCCCTCGCCTGGTTGAAATTGGCACCTCGGCAGGTTCGCATGATTGGTTAGTAAATCCACCTTAGCAGGTTAACATGAGCACCTCAGCAAGTTCACATGAGCACCTTATTAGCAGAAATAACAGTTAAATCTCGTCGTGTGCGGCGGGCTTTAAAGAAGTGCACGCGCGTACGACGAATGACAGTTAGGCGCGTGTAATGTGTGCGGGCAGGCTTTTTTTCCCCGCCGGCGCCTGAATGAAATCAGACAGTTGACGAAGCACCCTCTGTTTATATGCACATATGTCTTGTCTAACCTCATTACTGTTTCTCTGGTTGTTGACGTCTTTCCATCAAAAGTCGAAACATTATTGGTCGGTTGTTCTTCTTTTCATCAGTCATTTGGCCATAACAAAACTGCGTAAGTTAAATAGGCCTATACCAAACCTAGGCCTATGCTACCTAGGCCTAGCCTAGGCTAGGTAGGCCTAATTGTAATAGGGGCCTATCAGATAGATAGACCCCCAGGCACCCGCCCGTAGCCTGGCCCTAGGCCTAGGCTAAGCAAAATTAATTAAATTCGTTAAGGCTAGCCTAGACCTATAATAGGAAGACTTCTTGGGCACTTATCAGTCACTGTCTTCTGCTAGAATATTTTGACAGAAAACTTGGAAATGTAGACAAAAAAGTTTCTTTTCATAAGTAAAGTACCTCTAGCCTAGGCATAGGCTAATAATACGCTTGGCAAATGTAGGCCTATGCCTAGAATTTATATCCAATATGGCATATCAACAAAGTAAATATAAAACAGAAACATAATCCTGAATAAGACAATTTATGCCCATGTCATTAACCTCAACCTGATATTATAATTAATTAACCAACTGGGTAAGGGAGTGTTCAGAAATACTTGTTGTTGGGGAAGGGGCGAGGGTTTCTAAGTAATGTGGAACAAAATCCTATTAGGTCCTGAAAAATGAATCGAAAAATAAAATTGAGGATAATTGTAAAATATATTGAAAAACACTTGTGTCAATGAAATAATCACCAATCCGCCAAATGGCCAGATAGCTATAGATTTGACAGAAGCCATTATCACATAATACAATAATTCAATAATAATGATCACTTTTGTATGTTTCCTTTCTTTGAATTTCATTGCAAGCCATTTTTTTTCTACTAAATTTTTAGTCTTGTGCAATATCAAATAAAACATTTTTATAATAATGATTTTGGTGCTTTTATTTTTTCTCTTTATGAATGTTTTTTATTGTCCAGTGCATTTCTCCCTATTAAGTATTAACACGTTATATTTTCATTGCGGATTTTTTGGGCCTAGTACGGACTCCAAAAGCATACATTTTCTTTTAGTTTTATAGCGTATGCGGATTTTATAAGTCCGCAATGACGATATAACGTGTTTTAAATAAGACTGATAATTTTAGATGCCCTCTAAGTGCTTTTATGGTAAAACTTCCCAAAACGTTATGGTATTTATGGTAAAATATTTCTAAACGATGGTACTGTGTTTGGACACACAGTACCGTTTTGTTTAGCGTTTCGGGAAGTTTTACCATAAAGGCTACGATTTGTATTTAAACTTCTGATGAGTTGCACTCCTAAATTTGGTATAAAAACATACATTATAATTAAGCATTGCACTATCTGGAAAATAATTTCCTGCCTTTCTTCCGTTACTTTGTTTTTGTGTATTCATTGATATACATTAAAAAAAAATACTTTGAACATTTTCTTAGCATTGTTTTAATCTTTCATTCAAACTAAAGGAAAGTAATTTGACATGGACTAAATTTGATTGTTAATTAATGGAAAATTTGGCATGTAAAATAAGTTCAACATAGAAATTATTTGACCTTGGAAAGTTTGAATGTATATTCAATTCCTATCCATGTTCACTTACTTTACTACTTAGTTCACCTGTATACCAAGGCCTGTGATGTGCCTTCTTTATCCAAGTGGCCTTTACCTACCAAGTACCTGTATTACCACATGATGTGGAAGATCTTTTGAAACAGCAGGTGTTGTCAAGGCAGTATTATCGTAAGATTATACAAAGTTTATTTGAAGACATGATACAATTTACTCTGTAAGTATTTAACCTGATTATTATGTTTTTGAGTACTACTTAATTTTTTACTACTGTACTAATTTGATGCAGTTTCCTCTTTCCAGACCTGATTACCTATGACTTTCTTATTGATTCAATTTATTACCTGGGCATCTTCACATTTAGTACTATAAAAAGTAATGAAGTCTACTATAATGCATGCACTGTCATAAGGGTTTATTGCTAAAGCTTCAAAATACTTTAATTCATCTATTTTAACACTATTCTTTCCATGTTTATTCACTGATTGTTAATCTTGATACAGTAATTTTCCCCCTTGCACCTTTTTTTTTGTAGATATCCAACAACAGCTGAGTATACTGTGGTAGCCAGAGCTAGTTACCAAATATAAGATCTTAGAAGATAAATCTGGAAATTCAACAGGACATGTAAGCCATGTTAACAATTTTACATACTGAAAAGACACATTACAGCAAAAAAAAATTTGAGTCAAATTCTTGGGTAGATTAAGGGTGATTTCAAGCATGATGTCATCAAGGTATTTAGACTTTGTGTATCAGAACATACAGTAGATTGTAATAATGCTTAAGTACCGTAGCTACTGCCATTTAGTAATAATTGTATGCTGTCGTCTGAGCCAAAATAAGAGTTAGTCAGACTCTTTATTGTAGTCTCTCAATAGAGATGTTAGTGGTTCAAATTCTTTGATTCAGCCCAATCAGCTTATAGCTTTTTGGGAAAGCACATACAATTGGAACAAAAAGTAGATTTAAGGTATAAGATTACATTGATAATGTAAAATATGGTATAAGGCCTATCTACTTCATCCCAATCACCTTATTTTCAGGTAAAAATCATATACTGGCACAAATACAGCACAGAACTGAACCTTTAAAGTGGCACTGTCCCTTAGAAAATTGTAAAATCATAAAAAATCGAATTAAAAAATTACTGTACTATGTACACATAATGTAATCACCTTAAAGATGAAACATATCGTAAACCACAATAGTTATTATAATATAACAATATTAAATACAATAAACAATAAAATTGCTAAAAGCAAATGTAAGAATTATCATACTCAAATGGCTGTAAATGTTTGAATATTGAGTTTTAGTATGTGTGTGTCATGGTAAATGTTTTTTTCCGATTGTCGAAGTGACAGTGCATCTTTGAATTTTTGAGATGATATTTTCCCTATTTGGCATCTTAGGATAATACGTCAGGAGAAAACCAAGCCAGCATCAAGCATGTAACAGATTTGATGGACCTTTCAAAGAAGTGTAACCCAGACCAGAGCATTATGGTCGATAAACTAGAGCATACAAAGGAATATTGTTTAAAATATATTGCCGAGCACTCTGTGAAAGACGTGTTGGAGAAATTTCCTTTTCTTAAACTAGAAAATGAGGTAATAATATCCAAATCAATTATGTAGCATGTCAATAATGATTGAGACAAATAATTCCATAAAAAGGAATGTAAGTGGCCTATAGTTATTGAGAATATAATGCTAGGGGATTACACTTTTCCCATCTACTATTAAAGCTTTGTTCCACTTAAAAAGAAGCAGAACTGGCATTATTCATGAAGGAAATGCTTTTTCAGAACTCTTGTATTCTTCCTCATGGAAATACCAGTACCATTTTAAAATGACAATATGGTGAATTATTTCATGGAGAGAATAAAAAAAATATATATATAAAAAGCCATTTTTTTTTTTTAAGGCAGAGATTTATTTTATACTAGAAAAACTGTAACATATCCAGTGAATAGATGATGCATTATATTTGTCCTCTAATCATTAGTTGTAATAACTGACCATAGAAGTGTTTGTCATATTAGTTAAGTAATACGTCTTATACACATCTAGATGTGTATAAGAGACAGTTGTTAATGCTGCTTTGTTTGTGCTTTTATTTTTGACACAGGTGAAAATTAGCATTAATAGAATAGTGTAATGCAGTGTAATGAGTATGTAGGCCAAGTAATCCATTCTTAATTCCCAACCACTACCCAGTACATATTTACTACTAATTTTTGAATGTTGAACTTGTGTAGTGTTAAGGTGCTGATGTGAACCAGCTAATGTTCTGATATGTGAACCTGCTAAAGTGCTGATGTGAGCCTGCATAAGGTGCTGATGTGAACCTCCAAAGGTTCTGATGTGAACCTCTTAAGCAATGATGTGAACCTCCAAAGGTTCTGATGTGAACCTGCAAAGGTTCTAATGTGAACCTCCTAAGCACTGATGTGAACCTGCTAAGGTGCTTATGTGAACCTGTTGAGTCGCTGATGTGAACCTTCGAGGTGCAGATTTTAACCTGCTAAGGTCCTCATCTGAATCTGCTGAGGTGCTGATTTCAACCTGCTAAGGTGCTCGCTTGAGCCTGCTAAGGTACTGAGTTGAACCTGCTAGATGCTTATTTGAACCTTATAAGGTGCTCATGTAAACCCCAAGGTACGAAAATGCACCTTTAGTGTGCTAAAATGAACCCCAATAAGGAGCTTTTCTGACCACAGTTTGCACCTTCTGTCAATCATGTCATAATTAAAGGGTACAATTTTGAACCCCAAAGGAGCATTACTGTACCATATAATGGGGTGCAATGTTGCACCTTTATTTAGAGGTACAATTGTGCACCTTAAAAGGTGGCTGTGGTGTTGCATCGTTTTGTACCTTTTTAAGTAGGTATTTGCACCTTTTTTTTAACAGTGCATGATTTATCTGCACATAGTTTGGCCTTGAAGGGGTTCGAACGCGTAAGCTCCTTTCGAATGCTAGTGCCTGCTCTCTCGATGACTTTAACTTTTAGGTCGCATGTTTTAAGTATTATGTTCACTTTTTTCGCGAGGTCACTCCATGTTCATTTTTTTCGCGAGGTCACTCCCAGGGGTCGCATCGATGAACATCACGGCTTCACTTCACTTTTTTCGAACCATGTTTCACGTTTTATTTTCTTATTAATTCCTTTATTCATTTTCCATTTTTCGATCAATAAAGGGGGGTTGTTCTTTCTCTATCTTCGTCTAACATCGTTTTAAATTTATTAGTTGCTCTATCCGCCTTATTGCATTCTGTCAATAAAATGTTGTACGGTATGTGTTGGTTTCTTTGATTGATTGATTGATTGTTTCTCATAGATGTGTCCGGGTGAGATCATCGTAGTTTGGTTTCACACGGAAGCGGTGCTAGGATTATTTTTTTCCTTACACTTTTCATTAATTTCAAGAAGCGCTCAATTAAAGTTATTGAGTTCTGGTTTAACATAAAGGTTCGCTTATTCATTTTGTGGATACTGCTTCTGTTTAGGTAAGGTCAACTTTGGGCTGAATTATATCAATTACCAGGGAAAATATTAATGTATCTATATTACACCACCGATACAATTCACAATCACCCTTGTCAAATTAACTAATTAAATGTCTTAACAATCACTTCTTAGGTAGGCGAATTTAGTGTGTCGGAAGAATAAATTTTATTGTTGAATTTGTCAAGAGAAATTATATGGATTTAGCTGTTGACGAGCATATTTCAATTAAAATGGACACTGTCTATGAAACCTCTGTCAACAAGCTGTCCGTCGACGAAACATCCTGTCGGATAGCTTCAGATAGGCTGTCTGGGGTCCGAACATTATTTACAAGAGACAATAGATCACAATACAAATAATTATCAAACCATTGACCGATTTGAAAAGATTTGGAAGATTTGAATGCATACAATTAAAAAACAAAATTTCCTATAAAAAAAAAACCTTATTTATTGTTTCATAATACGAATTCACAACATTTACAGCATTCATTTTGAAAAGAGGCCCACCATCCCCCCCCCCCCACTCAACATCCACCTCGTTACTTTGCAAAAGTAGTCTCGAAAACCCATATCGAAAAAAAAGCCCATCAAAAGTTCACAAAAAATGAAGCCCAGGGTTTCAATTTGAAGTTGTACAGTAATCACGTTCGTACAAGTAATAGTAGTAACATTGCTTTAACAGTAGAACTTTATCAGCAGGGGCGGGTACAGAATTTGGTGGTAGGAGGTGGATGGATAGGATAGGGCTAAGTTGAGGACATTTTGAGAATATTGACCTTTATATGCCCGGAAATTGCACTCTCATAGATTATAAATTGTACAGGTACTATATATACAATACATATCAAGAATACAATAGAAAAAAATGTTTCTTAACACAATTATGGGGGGGGGGGGGTGATTGCATCGTTGCACCCCTGCATCCGCCCCAGATCAGTACGGCCCTTCCATTATTAGAAAAAATAGTCATACGTTACCAGAATAAAATTTAAACATTCTTTCACTATATAAACAGTGGCCTATTAATTCTTCTTATCGTGACCTTTAGGTCTACCACAGTATGGAATTTACAAATTCAATGCTCAAAACATAATTTAACATTTGATATCTGTAAACTGTGCACAATATTCAGTACGGTACTAGAAAGGTTTTGGACATGTACGATAACTAAAAAATAAATTATCTAAATATGCCACTTGCGACACATCCATCCATTAACGTGTTCACAAAAAACGTCGGCGAATTGTCTGTCTGTAAAATGTCATTCGGCAAATGGCTGTCGGCCAACTGGCATTCGACGAAGTGTGGTGTCGGCAAAATATCGTGTCAGCCAATGGTATTTTGGTCAATAGTCTGTAGCCAAATTTCTGTCGGCCAAATGTCTGTCGATGAATCATCTAAATATGCCACCTTGTGACACATCCATCCATTAACAGGTTCACAAAAAAAAATGTCGGCAAATTGGCTGTCAGCGAATCGTCCTGTCAGCAAACTGGCATTCGGTGAAATGGGGTGTCAGCAAAATCTTTTGTCGGCGAATGGTATTTTGGTCGATAATCTGTAGGCCAAATGTCTGTCAGCCAAATGTCTGTCGGTGCATGGACACATACTCCCGCTGGGAACCTATGTTTAATATTCGCTGTGGTTAAGCTAGCACTGTTAAAAAATATAACATACATATATTATTAATGATTATGCTAAATCTGTAGGCCTATCTATAAGTGACGACTGATTTAAGGCAGGGACATTTTAGCATAAAAATAAGGCATTTATGTAGGCCTATCACATAATAAAACAAAAAAGAAAAAACAACAATAATAATTAGAGTAGCCACACGAAAGCACCATGTATCACTTAAAAAAAAACCAAAAAAAAAAAAAACTAACAATAATTAAAGTGATAGTGTAGGCCTACTTAAAAAGTGAAACGATAATAATTAGAGTAGATCGGGAGGCACCGTGTATCACTTGAAAACAACACAAGAATAATTAGGGTTACAGGAGAGGCATTGTGCGTCAGTACAAGTGACTATGCATCATGGAGAGAGGGCGTCACTCCATGCTAAGGTTAAATGAATTAGAGGCATCAATGTCAGGGAGGCTTTCATACTTTCATAGAGGGGTAGCGTTAGCCTATAGTTAGGCTTTACCAAAGTTAATGTTGCTCTGTTAAAATACATTGAGTGGCTCAGTTGGAAAACACTGGCGTGTATGGTGTGTAAGCCAGCATTGAAAATGCTCATATTAAAATTCAATACCGTCTTAGTGTCTTTAACTGCTTAAACCACTAATTTATGACAAAGAAATCTTCCATCTATTTGATGATGCTATGAAAATAGCAATGGCGATTATATTAAAAAACTGAAAATATATTTTGTTGGTGTGTATTTTAGAATGTTCTGTTTATATATATTAATACTTATCAAAATCTTAACCAAACCATAGCAGTAAGGTAATATCGTTTAATATCGTTTCCTTCACTTTTATGGCCATCTGTTAATGTGTTCAAACAGTGTTGACGATGCTTAAAGTATTAAAAATAGTTTTCAAATAATAAAAATCTA